CTTTATCCCTGCTGTTTCCTCTCCATAACTTTCTATTCACTGACCCCATCCAGCTCCTTGGCTGTAAATTCCCACCTGCCTGTGCTGTATTCAGAGTTGAACCCAATATCTCTCTCCTACTGCAGAATTCCATCATGGTGGTCCCAATGCCTATCACAATAGTCCCGCCCCATGAATAGAATAGTCTTTCTTACCACGCTTTAACAAGTGTCGTTGAATATTTTCCTTTAACAACCTGTCCCCGGTGTAAAAAAGTAATACTTGCTGTAAGAACAAGGCGAAACAAGGTTCCCTGGGTTGAGAAGAGGAAAGAATTAGATGGGCACTGAGGGGAAAGCAAGGAACATTTAAAGGCTGGCATATTTCTGAGAAGGGGTTCCGAGCCTTGTGCCGCCCACTTCCGCCCGCTTAGGGGCTGAGTGGAGTCGATGTTTCAACTCCTTCTTGCTGCTCAGCAAGGACTTGGACTTCCCCTCTCCTTTGCCCCACGTGTAACACCTTTGGCTCACTCTCCAGGTTGTGAAAACTGTTTGCAGTTACAGAAATCTCTCCCAGGGCCACCCAGGAAGAAATACTGGATCAATTATGACCCCAATTCACCTTCCACAGCCACTGCTTCCCCATAGCTTGACGTTTCATGACCTACCCCATAACTGGATTTGCTCATGGTTACTTTCAGCTTTGAACAAGTGTTCTCTGTCTTTAAGTGCCTCAACTTTCCCTAATATTTTAAAATCTCTTGTTTCTAGCCCAGTGTTTCGATTCCTGTGTTACCTACAAAAATGCCTCACATAGGGCAGGTGATAAATATTTATTGAACCAAATTATTGTCTATTTTCCAAAATATTTACCATCGGTCCTGGGTTTGTATCATCTGCACACCTGGTAATAATCACGAGTTTGACTTGAAGTTTTTGATTAATATTGGCTATTCACTCTGTGGGTTGATATTCATAAAAACTGAATTAATTTTTATCAAAGCAAAAAAACAAACAAAACCAGCCCAAAAGGAATGAGATTCAAAACTCTCGCTATTGGACTAACCCAGATGGAGCTATAGGGAGAGAGACAGAAATAAAGGCGATCTATTGGAAGGCTATTGTAGACACCATTATATCCCGGTAAGAAAGCAATCTGGGAAGCTCTCATCAAGAAAGGTCACAGAGATAACTTGTATGTTTTCGTTTTCATTAGTGATCATTAGGTGAAGTAATGCACAGAATGCTTAGTGCTACTAAATGTTGATTCCATCTCAAATTCCCTGAATTCAGGGGCATGAAACACCTTTACAAGAAAGTTGGGCATATTAAGAGAAAAAAAATCTTTGTAAGTCAGGAGAAGCTGACCTGGTCAGCCTCCCACAGCTCTCTCATACTGATCTCCCAAGCTGCTTTCCCACAGTTCCTATCTCCGTATGTTCTAGTGGGATCTAAACAGGGCCGAAGTTGGAGGGGACGGTGTTAGTTTTTATTAGTTTAGCCTTCCATATCAGCTCCCATACCATCTCCCCCCTGAAGACACTCCTAATTCTTCACCTGGTGTCCTGCCGCTTTCTCACCCCTGTATCACAGCTGAATAGGATCCCAGGACAAATACTGACTGACTTGACTATGTACACAAAACATGAATCAATTCCAGTTAAAGAGTTACTTCAGTCCGACATTCACCTTGTATTTCTTGTGGAATGAAATGTTTTGAAAAGACTCTCAGGCAATGTCAAGCAGAGAAGACTAAATTTGCACATCAGACCTCTCTCTACCTTTAGGAATAAGACCGATTCTGAAGTTAAATCAAATTTAGTACTTTTATTTCAGGGGGACCAACTTGGGCACAGGTAGTTCTACCCTCTGCCTCATCAGCCCTGGGTAGATGGTAAAGGAATTGTCGGTTGTGTGGCTTGGAACAGAAAGCCATGAGTCTGCTCTGTGTGAGATATTCCCTTCTTCCCACTCCGGTCTCTCCCTTATCCTAGCTCCACCCCTCCCCCTACTTAAAATCTTCCAGATGCATGTTATATATTTTTCTTCATGCTAGAGTTTCTGATTTTGTGAGACGTACAATTAACTCCTTATATTATCTTACAACTGATAATATTTCTGATCACAAATATGGTTTGCATGTGTGATCTTCATTTCTAATAGTATTTCTTTTATGTTGCATTCTCTAATTGGTGTGTATGTCTTACCTTCTGAAGTGACATCTCTTTTTGGGAAATGACGCGTAACTGCCTTTTGAATGTATTGAATCCATAGCATTTATGCATTTATATATATATATATATATATATATATATATATATATATAATCTCCTAGGATATGTATTTTAGGACATATATTCCTCGATACTTTCATATACAGAAATGCACATAGAAAGTCATAGTTAGAAATATGCGGCTTCAATGATATAAGATATATTTATAACAGGAAATATAGTATAGGGATTAGAGCATATTCTCTGAGTCCAAACTACCTGGGTGGGTTCAAATTCCTGCTCTGTTCCTTAGCATTGTAAGTTTGGGGCAATTTATTTTCTCCCTCTATGCCTCAGTTTTTTCATCTGTAAAATGGCATTAAATAGTATCTCATTTATAGTGTTGTGAGGATTAAATTAGAAAATGCATGTAATGTGAAGCGCTTAAGTGAGTTCCTGGTACATGGTTAAGTGTTCAGAAAATTTTAGCTATCATTGTTGTGTCCATTTACATCTCCATACCCTCTGATGCACAAACGTATACATCCCTTCTCACAAACTCATTCATTAGTTTGACAAGCAGTAGCGGAACACCCATTACATACTAGATACCCTACTGGGACTATAGAGCTAAGCAAGGCATGGGCTTTTTCCTAGTGAATTTCACAGTCTTGTGGGGAAGATGGCAGAGAAATGATGACTACAATATAGTGTGATAAGTGCTACAGTAGAGTTGAGCATAGGGGCTACGTGAACATGCGGGAGTGCAAGTCGTGGTGGCTTGGACCTGAGATTCTAAGAAGTATTCTTGAGCTGATTCTTGAAGGTTTGGTAGAAGTTAGCCAAAGGAACAAATCAGCAGAAAGTGTGTTCCAGGTAGAAAGCAGCACGTTCAAGGGCGTGGAGATGGGAGAGCTGTCCAAGGAACGTAGATAGTTGGAAGAGCGGTGATAGATGTTGCTGGATGGACAGGCCTTGAGTGAACCATAAAAGCCCAGTACCCAGTGTAAGGAGTGTGGATTCTACCCTACAGCCGATGGGGAGCCATTGAAATGATTAAGCAGAGCCATGACATGATCAGATTTGGGTCTGAGGAAGCCCCTGATAGCCCCACTTTGGATAATTAATTGGAAGGGAACAAAATTGGAAGAATAGCCCAAAGATACAGTTAAGGGCCTAAAGTAAGATGGTGATAATGAAGATAAAGAGGAGGGTGTGAACTGGGGAAAGGTTTCTGAGATAAATTCAACAGTGATTTAGCAATCATGAGGATGTAATGTGGAGAAGGGGAGAAATGAAGAGGGCAGAATGGAGGAATATTCTCAGATTTCGGGCCTGCGTGCTAAGGAGGAGGGATGGGGAGATGGTGAGTGTAGTTTTGATGTTGAGTTAGAGGTGCCTGTGGAAGACGGAGCACTTGATGGTATAACAGAATTATCCACGGGGCTTGTTAAATGCTGGTTCTCAGGCTCTACCCCTAGGCCTAGGGATCTGTATTTTAAAAAATGTTGTAGGTGGTTTGGATGTAGCCAGTCCATAGTTGTATAGGGAGATATAACAAACAGGATAGGAAATACAGATTTAGGAGTCTCTGCATGCTTGTGCTTGGAGCAAAGATTATACATGAAGTCATACAGAGATAATGGGCAAGGTAAGAGGGAGAGACCAATGACCCAGACTCTTACAATGGTTTCAGCAATGATTCTCCTCTGCATTACCCAAACAGGGGAACTGGGCAGTTGAAGTGGAATTGAACTGGGCGATTGGAGTGTTAACTACTTACAATATCTGTAGTTTATTTATCTTCCTCTGCTTTTCATTCTCTATGCTGCCCTAGAATTATCTTTCAAAAACACTGATCCAATGATGCTATTGCCATGTTCCTAAACTTCAAATAACTCCTCCTTTTCTATAATCCAGCTTCAACTTGTATTTCCAGATCCAGCTGCCATCCCCTCCACCACCAATTCCATGTGCCAGCCCCTGTGGGCTTGGCCTTTCCTGGGTGTATCATATGTCCTGGGCCTCTGCACTTCCCCTTCTACCTAACATGTCTGGCCTCAGCTCTGCTCTCTGCCTGACGCACTCATACTTAGCTTTACAGAGTTCATTCATACACGGTCACTCAGATTTCAGTACCATTTCTTCACATAGCACTGTTTATTCTGGTAATCAGCATGACGTGTTGAATTGCAATGAGATTAGCAGAAAGATTTAAGTAGAAACTTTATTGTGTTTTAATGGAAACCCACTTCTTCTTCACGGTCAAATGATTCCCTTTCCTGTGTTTTCAGAGAGATACTGTTTATAGCTCTAGGATAGCATTTTCTCCTGTCTTCATTGTTCAATAATTAGTTATTAATAACTGTGCCTCCTCCGTAGAGACTATTCTTGTCATATTTGAGGCTTCTATAGCTTAGTGCTTTATATAACATGGTAGGTTTGCAGTTTATGTTTGTTAGACTGAACTAAAAGAAAAATTTTTGAATGTAAACTTAAAAAAAAATCACAAGCCATAAACTCAGTAATGTCATGTGCTTGTGATCAAGCAAATAATCAGCAGCTAGTTGAATTTTAGGAAAGGAGCAGAAAGCTCCCATTCTCTAACCCAAGATAATTTGTAGTCACAAATTGATTTAGTTTAATGTTTGGCTCAATAGTCACACAGCCAAACAGCAGTCCTTGGAAGTTGCTTTCATTATTACAAAAGGTAAATCAATGAGATCCATTCAAAATGAATTACAGATTATGCTTTAGAAGAGTTTCTTAAACAGAAAAACCAAAACCACAGAAAGAGAGAGAAACTTACCATTTTAGGTTCTGAGTAGGTACCCAGCCCGATGACAGGGATGCTGTTTCCATCACTTAGAGGTATGCGGTGATCTGCAGCACTGAGGTCCATCTTGGAGAGAGCCCGGGATTTCAGGTTTCTAAGGGTGATTCTGAATGCCACAGGGAGAGTCTTTTTGAAAAGGTGTCCTACTGCCCATTTAATTAAAAAAAAAAAAAAAAGAAGAAAGAAAAAAAAAAGGAGGGCTAGAGGGAGGTGCAGTGGGAGGGAAGAGTTATTATTGACCAGACCTATTTCTCAACCTGTTTTCTTTCAGGTTGTTCGGGAACCCCTGAGATTGCCCTTTGAACTTGATCAGAGACATAGACATAACTCATTGAGAGTTTGCGCTTACTCCTTTGCAGAGAAAAGATTGAAAGAACAAAAGGAAACAAAATCTAGCTGGCTTCTATCACTTGGGATGCTTTTGTGGTCAGGTAACAGGCCTATTTCAATTTCTTTTAAGCTATAATGGAAATTTATTGGTTCATGGTCCTGAAAACTTCACCATTGGGGCTAGCTTAAGGTGGGACTAGAGTTGTTTCCCAGACTTTTCCTGGAGGTTCCAATGCAGCAGGACTGAGAAGGGGACTGGGATTTTTATCACCTAGTTGAGTTTGGAAACCACTGGGCTAGAGGAACAAATGATGTGTCCAGAAACGAGTTTCTCGCTCTCTAATTCTCTCTGCCTCCTCGCTCTTTCAGCAGACTCTCCCCTTATTGTTGAAAGATGGCAACCAGTCCTTGAAGTGACACGGTTCCAGGTTCAAATTTAACAAAAAAGAGTGTTTACTTACTCCATAGCTTCCACAGTAATCCAGGAATGGTCTTTTTGGCCTCGCTTGCCATTTTTTATTTATTTAAAAAATTTTTTAAAAGATTTTATTGGGGAGTTGGGGGAGGGAACAGCGCTGGGGAATTGGGGGAAGGGGAACAGACAAGTTCTGTCCTTTTGTTCTTCAGTCTAGTTGTGGAGGACGTTGCTTCACTGGCTCATGTTGGTATTATCATTGTACTCTTCCTGGGTGAGACACATTGGTTGCCGGCTACTGGATGGCCACTTCCCGTGGCTCTTGGCAGCTCATGTTGGCTGCCAGCTGCTCATGCTGGCTGCTGGCCACTCAATGGTAACTTATGGCAACCCACTGCAGCCCCTCTGTAGCCTATGCCGTTGCCAGCGACTCACGGCAGCCCAACTCCAGGTCAAGCTGTTGTTCACCATCTTAGCTGTAGTGGGTGCAGCGTCACTGGCCCGTGTGGGATCCGAACTGGTGGCCTTGCTACTCAGAGCTTACTCTCCCAAGCTAACTCTTAACCAATGAGCCACTCTGCTGGCCCTCACTTGCCATTCTTGGTTTAATGATCCATCACTACATCAATCATAATGATCAGAAGAAATAAAAGATGGGTTGCCTTAAGATAATTAGAAGCCGTTTCTAAATTTGGAGTTGAGGTGAGTTCCACCTGGGAAGGTTCTTAAGTCAAAGGAAAGAAGTAGCAGTTAGGGAAATGATGAACAAATGTTTATTATAATCTTCCTCCAAAGGATTGTGCTGTGTATAAGATGAGAACTTTGGACCTGGTTGCCTCAAGAACAACAGTCCATGAAGTGCGTCTATAATTAACTTACCCTATCTCCTGGAAACTCATTCTTGCTGATGTACAGTCAGCCAGTAGACACAACACTTGCTTATAGGTTGGGGCAATGTTGGACCTGGGCAATGATGGTCCTCTCCATCACTTGTAAATCGAGCCAACAAACACTTATTGTGAAACTTTGTGTGCTATGATGTTGGCTAGTCTATGTTTACTTTTTTTTTTTTTTGTAGAGGGCAGTGTCACTGGCCCTCACATGTGGGATCCGAACCGGGGCCCCCTGGCGTCCCAAGCCAGTTCTCAACCATCGCGCCACTTGGCCGGCTATGTTTAGTTTTTTATTATTGACTTTTTTGGTGTTTAGCTCTATGAATTTTGGTACATATATGGGTTTGGGTAACTACCATCGTAGTTGGGATAATGAAACGTGTTATATAACCCAGTGATCTTCATGCCATTTCTTTATACCCTCCACCGCCCCTACCCCCTGGAAATCACCATGGCTATAGTTCTATCTTTAGAGAACATCATGTGAATTGAATCATACAGTGTGTCGTCTTTTAAGATTGGTTTCTTTCACTCAGCATAATGCTGTTGAGATTCATCCAGGGTGTTGCTTGTACCAATAGCTCACTTGTGTTTATTGCTGTGTAGTATCCTATTATATACATGAACTACACTTTGTTTCTGTATTTGAAGGACATTGGGTTTGTTTCTAGTTTTGGGTGATTGTGAACAGAGCTGCTGTAAACATTTGTGTACAGGTGTTTGTATGAGCATTAGTTTCATTTCTCCAGGAGTGGGATTGTTGGGTTATGTGGTGTGTTCAACTGTGTAGGAACCTATCAAACTGCTTTTCAGAATGGTTGTAACATTTTGCATCCCCTCTAGCAATGCATGTGAGTTGCAGTTGTTCCCAAGACTCGACAGCACTTGGTATTGTCAGTCTCCTTTCTTTCTTTCTTTCTTTCTTTCTTTCTTTCTTTCTTTCTTTCTTTCTTTCTTTCTTTCTTTCTTTCTTTCTTTCTTTCTTTCTTTCTTTCT